CATGGGCAGGGTGTAGCTGATGTACTAGGATTATTGACATGGGCAGGATGTAGATGATGTACTAGGATTATTGACATGGGCAGGGTGTAGATGACGTACTAGGATTATTGACATGGGCAGGATGTAGATGACGTACTAGGATTATTGACATGGGCAGGATGTAGCTGATGTACTAGGATTATTGACATGGGCAGGTGTAGATGACGTACTAGGATTATTGACATGGGCAGGGTGTAGATGACGTACTAGGATTATTGACATGGACATGGGCAGGTGTAGATGATAGTACTAGGATTATTGACATGGGCAGGATGTAGCTGATGTACTAGGATTATTGACATGGGCAGGGTGTAGATGACGTACTAGGATTATTGACATGGGCAGGATGTAGCTGATGTACTAGGATTATTGACATGGGTAGGGTGTAGATGACGTACTAGGATTATTGACATGGGCAGGATGTAGATGATGTACTAGGATTATTGACATGGGCAGGGTGTAGATGATGTACTAGGATTATTGACATGGGCAGGATGTAGCTGATGTACTAGGATTATTGACATGGGCAGGGTGTAGATGACGTACTAGGATTATTGACATGGGTAGGGTGTAGATGACGTACTAGGATTATTGACATGGGCAGGATGTAGATGAGGTAATAGGATTATTGACATGGGCAGAATGTAGATGATGTACTAGGATTATTGACATGGGCAGGATGTAGATGATGTACTAGGATTATTGACATGGGCAGGGTGTAGATGAGGTACTAGGATTATTGACATGGGCAGGATGTAGTAGATGACGTACTAGGATTATTGACATGGGCAGGGTGTAGATGATGTACTAGGATTATTGACATGGGCAGGGTGTAGATGACGTACTAGGATTATTGACATGGGCAGGGTGTAGATGACGTACTAGGATTATTGACATGGGCAAGGATGTAGCTGATGTACTAGGATTATTGACATGGGCAGGGTGTAGATGACGTACTAGGATTATTGACATGGGCAGGATGTAGATGATGTACTAGGATTATTGACATGGGCAGGATGTAGCTGATGTACTAGGATTATTGACATGGGCAGGGTGTAGATGATGTAGATGACGTTGACTAGGATTATTGACATGGGCAGATTGTAGCTGATGTACTAGGATTATTGACATGGGTAGGGTGTAGATGACGTACTAGGATTGTTGACATGGGCAGGGTGTAGATGAGGTAATAGGATTATTGACATGGGCATGGATGTACCTGATGTACTAGGATTATTGACATGGGTAGGGTGTAGATGACGTACTAGGATTATTGACATGGGCAGGGTGTAGATGAGGAACTAGGATTATTAACATGGGTAGGGTGTAGATGAGGTACTAGGATTATTGACAGGGTGTAGCTGATGGACTGGGATTATTGACATGGGCAGGATGTAGCTGACGTACTAGGATTATTTACATGGGCTGGGGCGACGATGTAGCTGATGTACTCGGATTATTGACATGGGCAGGATGTAGCTGATGTACTCGGATTATTGACATGGGCAGGGTGTCGTTGAGCTGATGTACTAGGATTATTGACATAGGGCAGATGGTGTAGATGACATGTACTAGATGATTTTCATTGACATTTGCCGGCAGGATGTAGAGATGTTGTGTTTTGTAAATACATGCTCATATTACAATAACGGATTATTGACATAGCAATTACTGTCCGTTTGAGACAAAATGATAGCTTGATCTACTAGGATTCAAACCAAGCGTGACAACAAAACAACATACCAACTCTAGAAAAAGCAGATGCACGTTCAAAATGTCGGAGACGTGAAAAGTCTATGATTTCTTCAAGGATGAAAATGACAGGGGGTGACCTTGTATGCAATTACTAAGTACATACAGCACCCTGTCTGTGCAGCTGGGCTACGTGTCATCTCGCCAGCTCAAAGAATTGTTGAGAACCCGTTAACGCACGTGCATCTCGCTTTTCGCGCTGTTCCTTTAGTTGCCCCTGCGCCCTTGTAACAAACTTGGAAAACGCACAAATAAATTATGACAGTTTCTCAAACAACTTTTTTATTTTAAAGACTCAAATTATGCAATTTTTTTCTAGAGTTGGTCTTTTGTTTTTGTTGCAGTCTGTGTTGGTTTGATTCTTTTATGTCTATTTGTTTTTGTGTTAGTTTGCAATTAATAGGTATCATTTTGTCTCAAACGGACTGTACATAATATGACAGACAGAACTCAGGTGCACGAACTATAAATCAATGTGTTTTGTTTATTGTGTATAACCTGATAGGTGTTAAGTTAAATTATCCAGCCTCATGTAAGAATGTCGAGTTTTGATTGGTTCACGTGACTCTGATAAAATACCATGTACACCCGTCCCGATCCGCGATCAGGGAGTACAAAAGTCATATTATCCCGCCACGCCTCGGTGACCACGCAAAGTGAGAAAATAACGTGCGCTGCATTGAGGTCAATCGATCAGCTGTTGTCAACATGGCATAAACAACTCAACCGGCAATATTTTCAAATTGCAACATTCAAAATGTTAACATTGTGTTTCAAAAATGAAGGGTTTTAAAAAACTGAACACTCCCTTCGATTGAACTTTGACTCGTGACCGTGACCCGTAATCTGTGAACCGTGGCACCTCATATTTTGAATAAATGGTTAGATCAAATTGTTATCTCCATTGTGTCTCGGGAAATACGGGGTTTTATCAATTGCATGTGGTCAATGATTGAAGTTGTATATTGCATATTATCATTAGCAGACAGGCAGGCAGACACATAGGTGTCAATAAAACAGACATTGAGTTTTGTCTGTGACAGAGGCATATCTATATCAGAGTCAGAAATTCTGATGACGTTGCTGTTAAGTATCGGACTGAGAAAGTGACTCTGTAAGAAGAACATGTCGTGAAATAGTCAAATGACATTATGTAAACAGTTAAATCGGTAATTTACTGTCATAACATATAAAAGGCTCGCGCCTGTGAAATATAAACAAATCATTAGAAAAAGAGCTCACATCAAAGCCTACTCCGAGTACTCACCGCCAGTGAAGGTTTTCCGTCTTGAAATTTCCAAAAGTGCTTTTATGTGACACATAGCTTTTTAACAAAAGTGCTTCTATGCAACGAGTAGATTATTTACTTTTTTTGTGTACACAACCAAGATTAGGCTACTCCTGCTCACAACCTTATAATCCCGGCATGCCGGTTCTAGCCGCGGAACCGATTCACTGCGCATGCGCTATGTGCGCAGCACAGCACAGCTGTTGAAACCACTTTCACCCCAGCTGGGTTGAATTTAGTGAATCGTTTGAACTCCGATTTTGCGGGATTTTTTAATCGCGGGATTTTTCAACTTTATAAGTTGAATTTGCATTTTTGATAATTTGTTACTGTTAGTCCATACCGAAAGGTATCAGAATCTGAAACGTTGTGCTTTGCGTTGCATGTAAGCTTTAAGAATACGACCCGTGAAGGTCCGGGTTAGAATTGATCTTCAGCAACCCATGCTTGTAAGAGGAGACTAACGGGATCAGGTGGTCAGGCTTGCTGACTGGGTTGACCCATGTCATCGTATCCCAATAGCGTAGCTCGATGTTCATGCTGTTGATCCCTGGCTTGTCTGTTCCAGACTCGATTATTTACAGACCGCCGCTATATAGCTGGAATATTGCTGACTGCGGCGTAAAACAAAACTCACTCACTCACTTTAAGAATGTCAAGGTCTTCTTCATCGGGTCAAAGTACACACATCTGCTGGTTTTGTTTGTTCATCCGCCGCTATCAGTAATGTTCTAGCTATATGGCGGCAATCTAAATAATCAAGTCTGCACCAGACATCCAATGATTAACATCATGATCATCGATCTATGCAAATGGAATTCAATGACATATGCAAGCCTGACCACCCAATCACAATAATGGCCTCTTTCGACAATATGGGTGGCTGAAGATCAACTGTAACCCGTATCTCCATGCGTATTTGCTAGTTGGGCATCATAAATGTAAAATATAAAATTGCATAATGTTTCCCTAACTAAATATGAAACACTGATGAAATGACGAGAAACAAACGAGTGCCATATTTACAGCAAGAACACGACGTATTTCCATTTCACCTCGTATTGTGATGTAAGTCAGTTTATTCAAAAACAGAAATGCTCTTAGTGTGTTCAAAATAGCATGAGTTTCTTTTGAACTAGTTCAAGAATACTATGATGCCAAAAGTAATCATTAATTTAAATATCATAACCGTGTATATACAATAGTGTCACATTTTGATATCAAAGTTTACATTCTCCTCAGATATGGACGAGTCTCACAACAGCCTAGTTGAAGAGCCACCAAAATCGAAGGTAGGATCATTGTCGCGTTGTAAGTGTTGAAAGTGGAAATTATCCTTGAAAGTAAATATTGTTGGTTCGACAACCTGCAGACTTGTGAATCATGTCTGTTTCTAGGAGGCGCTGAGAGGTGGCAACAGTGCAAGTGAAGAACGGAACTTGAGAGCTGCAGAGACTCAAATATGTAAGTTGGTAGCTTGACATATGGACAACGTTGCTGGAAATACATCAACATCTAATTTGCATAGTCACGTGACATACATACACTCACTCTGAACCAAAAACAGTGTTGTGAATCTATGAATGGATAAGGGTTCAAACGGGATATTACAAAGTATTACTGAAAACATCTGTTCCAGTTTTCGATTCGATCATGTATTGTGACAATGGTCAGTAAGTTTACTAGTGTGGTAACCTTGGGAGGGGAGACCTAACCTGAATAGTGACACCAGATGTCAAACAGGTTCACTTTATGCAGCCACATGCCTCAAAGTCTCTACCCATTATCAGTAGATGTGTTTGTCTTATAAAACTATACGAAGTTTGTGGTTGTGTTGGTGGAATCTCAGACATACCATTGTGGCAGATGCCAGTAACAGTGCGTCTCACTCTGATTCAGTTTATATGGGAACCTCCTTCAGGGCTTGCAGACATGGCAGAACAAGAGGAGATGTTGTCGACCTTAGAGAAGGTACATTTATACCAATGTCGACTCATTGAAAGTACATCCACATATTCAGTATAACATTCTTTATATCTAATGATTAATTGTCACATTGTTTCAGTATATAACCGACGGATAGATAATAGTTTGATAATGAATAACATCTATCGACGTTTAACTATGAATGGTTTGAATGATTGCTTTGTTTATTTTAAGGAACAAGACCTCCAAAACGACACCTTCATTCACTGTACTCTGGTATGTTCTACCATACATAAGTGCCCGGGTAAAACATCTCTAACTTGTTACCACAGATGGTTGGTGTTTGAGGAGTGGGTAAAACATCACCCAAACATTAATTGATGTTGCATGATTGATGAAACACATATCCTAACGCACTTGACAAAATCGTGATCTTACGCTGAATTCGTTACAATGTATTTGGCATTGGTATGTATAGTAAGAGCATCATAATATCATTAAGGTATGCCGTGCGAGTGAAGCAGAAATGTTTACACTTATGCGTAGATATGGTGTTGTTTTCAATAGTGTGACACAATTTGGGGTGTCTCGTATTTTATTGTCCTTATATCCTTATTGATGCAATATTCGCTATCGCACAATTTTGCCATCGCACAATACTTTGACAACATGTGATGTACAAACGCCCTTTCATCGTACAAATATATCTAAAATGGCACATGCACTTCACGAACGCCTAGGTCATGTAAGATACCTTGTAATTACAGCTCTTCCTCATGAGTGGCTCACCAAAATGCACTACCTGCAACTACACCAGGATGTCCTGTCCCTGTACGACATAGAGCTGTCAGAGGCAATCAAAGTGAGTCTGCGTTCATATTTGGTGACCAAGATTAGAGAAGCTGTTTGTGTCTGTCAGTCTGTTACCAAGTATTGAGAACCCCATGAGCCGATCTTTCTGCTATAAAAAAGCTACAAAACCAATCTATAATAAGAAACGACGCCAGGTGCTGATACAGTGAACCGTTAACATGTGTGTATTTTATATACGTGACATTCAAGAGCAGGAGCTTGGTTGTATCCAGTTAAATATAGAACTCACCTCTGTGATTAATCTGGAAAGCTGAACATTTCTTTCTCTCTATTATACTGTCATGACGCATATGCCAGCAGCTAACTCACTTATATTCACGATGAAAACACTCATGTTAAATATGAAACACATTGGTAATTGATTGATATACACGAAGTAAACAAAAGTGGCAAACTCCTTTCTACATCAACAATAAACCTCTGAAAGTGTGAGCGTTTCCTGGGCACTCCTGTTAACACCTCTAACAAACACATGGAATCGGTAGTCAATTGTTCACCTGTAAAACACATAAATGTATGCTACAAGTTAAAATAGTGAATAGTACCTATCAAAAATGATTATGTAAATATGGCTGATAATAGTACTAATCAAAATAATTGATCTCACACAATAGTGATTTTGGATGCATAGCTTACAAGATCTACCCCATAGTGATTACCGGTATGTATACAAATATAAGTATCATTACATAATCCACACGATATACAGATATTGAAAGGGTCAAGGGCAGTAGTGCCTATGCATGCAGTTGACTCCAATCTAACGGTTGTTGGCATTGCAGACAATGTTCATTAATAATTAAGTGCATATATTTGGTGTGTATTTGAAATAATTGCAGGAAATTGTGAGACCTCGACCTTTCCACAAAGAGACGGCTAAGCCAGATATTTCTTCAGGTAAAACTCATCATAGCCTATTTCTCATCCATTTCGTGAGTGAGTTGAGTTATAAAGCGACCTTGAACAGTATATCAGTTACACTATGTCAGTTGGATGAGGAGGCAGTGATGCAGGGGCAAATGTTTGTTTTCGTTAAAATTGTCACAGTTCATGACATTGTGTTTTAGCAATCATTAGATGTCAGGAATGTATTGTTAATGTAAGGTTACTGGGATGGAACTGTTTTGATGCTTTTGGAGTAAACTGTAATCTTGAATCTTCGAAATAGTTAAAGACTAATCCATATGGATGTAGCATTGAAGATTATGGAAGGTATTTAGTAATCACAAATTACATCAAGACCAGCAGTTGTGCGATGATCATTATTTGGTAAAGATTTAACGTGAATGGCCACAATGGAGTGTGGTGGTGTTGTCAAAAATTGATATATTCAGTTTGTTTATAAATGTATTTGTTTTCCTATGGGTAGTATATCACAATGTTGATAATTATCAAGGATGATCAAGATTCCACTGTACCTTTCAGAAGTTGGCAACCACGAGCGACCTTCGACGAGGAGAAGTCAGATTTTCAAGCTTCGGCTATTTCAGCAGGGGTTGCTGAAGGAAAGAGACATGCTTGACATCATAGGAAATGTAAGTATATAATGTATTTGTTATCCAGTGTGACTCGCCGCTAAGGCATCATCAATGCCTTTCTTTAAGGGCAAGTTTACACGAAATTGGACATTTTTTGTCTTGCACTTTTCTTTGCATAAAAAGTGTTCATCAAGTTGTTTCATAGCCAAAGCAGTACAAATATCACAAGTTACTAATCTATTTTTGGCATTATGTCAATTCATATTTTGAACAGTTATGAGCAGTTCTATGTCCAAAATAAGCAGGTCATGGTTTACGTTCCTTGCAATATGACGTCACAGGTCCCAAACTGATACACGAATGACTTCACTAGACCTTATTAGACCGATTTTACGTGGCGTACAGTCGTGTGGTTCTTTTGTTTTATTGTGATGTGTATTTCTGTTCTTGTTGTTTTATCAAATCACCAATGATCATTCGTCCTCGATAGCCAGGTGTATTCCAATGGTTTGCTACATTCAACACAATATATTATAGTTTTCGTCAGCGTGACGCCATGACTGACACAAACTCACGTACAACGTCGATGGTACTTCTCATTTCTAACTATTTCAGTTGGTCCCAATGAAAACAGAAAGGAAATAACAACATTCAGATTGTCAGAATGATTCCGATCACTTACATTCCACATTTAAGCATAAACGTAGTAGTCCATTGCATTATGTATTTTCGTTAAGTGAGATGGAGATTAGCAACAGTATACATATTCGTAAACCACTCACTACATTTAATGTAAAAAACAATGTTTCCAGTTGTTCCCATCATCCCAGTGGCAGCCATCTTAGATTTCAACATGGCGGCCACATTCAATAATGTGTCACCCTTTTTTTCACCTTTAAGTGCTATTCTGTTTCTGTTTTCACAATATATTTGCAAAATATATGCTGTTAAGGATTACAAGTATCCAAGACACAGTTACTGTGTATACATGCAGGGAAAATATGTTGTTATGTACCAAATTGAGATAGTATATGTTTCATAGCAGCTACTTATGATATATATATCTATACACTGAACTCCCAGACACCTCTATACTGCCATACTTATATTTTGCTCTGTGTGGGAAAACAAGAATATATGAATGTTATGATAACCACATTAGCTATTAAAACTCAATTAAACTGCTAACGTGTTGATCAGTGGTGTAAGTGACGTAAGAAATGGTTGAAGATGAATGTCCACAATGTCACAGAAGTTAGAGGTTAATGTCTGTCCCCAGATGTTGCAATCTTCAGACATCAAAGCACCACATACACAACATCCTTTACAGCAATTCATCAATACCATCGTGATTTCCATTTCAGACATGTAATCATTCTCCAATCGAAAAGTTGTAATAAATAATGAAAGTAAATATCTACAATGTCACCAAAAGGAGAGGTCTTTCCACAAGTATTCACACTCATCATTTATATAAAGGAACTGTTTCCTCCACTTGAGACTCGTCATTCTCACATTGATTACTGCATTGACATTCAGTACATAGTAAGTCTTTTGGTTTGCATGTACATCGTTGAGTTGAACAATCTGTCTTGCACTGGCATCGAACTATCTCAGGAATAGCCTGGGCAACTGCAAGAACATCTGTGGTGACTTGCCTAAGCTTAGCATCCTTATCCTTATGAAACCTGTATCTCATTGGGTCGAAGAAGACTTGTTTGAAAACAGGAACTTGAGCCTGCATCTGAACTTTGTGAATGTGCTGTCTCAAGGCACCAAGTGTTGGAGAGAGCCTGTCACTTTCAGTCATATGCTAGCAAAAGAGATACCGTTTCATACACTCGCAGAACCGTCTGCGTTTCATACACTCGCAGAACCCGCTGCGACTGATGGCGAGTGAGTGCGAATGAGGGAGATCGTTTCGGCGAGTATGGCGAGCTTCCTAAGACCAAACGACGATCTCAGTGCGAGTGTGCGCGAGTGAATGCGACCGAGAGGCAAAAATCGGTCGCAGTGGATTCGCAAGCTCGGTGTAACGGTGGTATAACTGTAGGAGGCAACTGTGTCATCTTCTAAAGAAGAACCGTCAACTACAGCAGTCCTATGCACTGTGCAGTCACTTTGGTCAAGTTGAGGGGCCATTGATCACTGAAAAATTCATTTTTACCCAGTTCCTCAAGACAGCTGATGAGTTTCGACTTTTCTGTACATTGCAACAACATGCCATCCATGGAAAAGAATGCTTTTGGTGTCATGTTTCAGATCAATATCGCGACTTGATTTGGCTAAAATCATCATCTTTCAGGTCCACAACCTTGTCTCTAAGTTTCACTGTTTGTTTCTTGCTGTCAGACATCTAGAACGTGTTATTTTCCTTCTTCACTGGAGGCAGACTGTTCCATTAATCCTTTCTGCGACATATTCTTGCTTCATGATGCTCCTTGACTTCAGCTGCTTCAAAAACAAACTGACTTTTGAACTCGTTTACTAGGCGTGAAAACTCAGGTGCTGCCAAAAAAGAACGCTGTCTAGCATTTCCATTCCGTGATATGCCAACGAGACCAGAGTGTACCTTCATTAGTCTGTTGAGTTGTTCACATGCATGATTAGCTCCAATGGAAAAAAGGGATACGCTTCTTTGAGACAGATATTTCCAGTAGCCAGGTGATTCCATGTGCATGGACCATTTGACCTCAGTGCATGCATATCTGCTAAGTACGTGGGCCACAGTCGTTTGTATTTGATCCGAATCCACAGCAAAACAGAGTTTGCCCAGTTCTTAACCAGCCTCTAGATGCAACACAGCCACTCCAGTCACTGTCTTGCATGTAGACAGTAAAGAATTGTATGCAGCCCAGGCTGGAATCATGCTAGCTTCTCTCTCTTCCCTCGACATTCTGGACATCACTGATGTTACTATCCGTCCAAAGTGTGTAAGGTAATAGCCTTTTGAAATACCATTTCTACTGAAGTGCAATTTTGTTGATGAGGAAGCTGCTCGTTTCGCCTAGTGGTTGCAGGAGTTGTATGATTCCCTGGGAGTTGAGATTCACAATACGATGTGCCGTTGAGATTGACATCCAACGATCGAGGGAAAATATACCAGCGCCTTGAGCATGCACTAGTGCGTGGATATGTGCGCTATATAAATATCCAATAATAATTTTAAAAAACCAAAACAACTGAGATGTAGTTTTCAAGTCTGGATTTCTGCAGGGGATCAGCTTTGTATGAACGGGAGTAACTGTACGATCGTGGCCTTCCTGAATGTCAAGGGGTTGTGATGTCAGTTCTCCTGAGGCATTAGCCTTCTGGTAGACAGCAGTCACAGTCACATGTCCCGCTCTCTTCCCATCAGGAGTGTGATGATAAGATTCCAATCTTGGTTGTTATACAAGAGGGAGTTTGATTTTCTCACCGGTAGCATTTTGACAGAATATGCACATGTTGTTATGATGGTTCTGCCTCACCTGAAAATAAAAATATAATTCATTTATTTTTTATATAAATCAAAAAGAATTAGTTATTCTCAAATAATCATCTTGCAAACTTCCTTTACAAAATTGCAGAATTCAAGAAAAATGTGAAGCAATTATAGTCAAATCACTACATTATAATCAATTGCAAGCCAAAACTCTTATAGGAGTTCTGTAACAAATCAGTACAAAAAAACATTTAAAAAAATATAAATTGTAATCATTAAAGCATACAATAACAATATTTAAGTAAATTAAACTATAAACCAATTTGCAAAGGTTAAATATTTGCAATTTTGTTCATCACAGGACCCTTAAAGAACACTGTTATTGTTTGTTGTAATGAAAGTATCATCTGTGACTGCATCATAACACATTAGCGGCCCTTTAAGGGAGGATTCTTACGACCCAAACAATGATTCCTGCATTATGTTGATATATTATATATTGCCAGAGATGTGGACTGAATAAATATGCTTGATATATAATATCGTCAGAATAGCTTTAAGAACACATGAAATACACATCAAGTATAGATTATGTGCATAGAAGCACTAAGACCAAACACTCTGGGTTTTTCTCAGTTATTTCAGCAGATATCTAACATTCTATCTATATGAAAACATGTCAAATACTATGAAAATATCAATCAATTTACTACCAAATGGCACAGGAAATCACAAATGCATCTAAAAAGTCAAAACAATGCTGAGGAGGCAAGTGGTCTCATGTAGTAGATTTAATTAAAGTTATTTAAAAGTATTTTCAATCCAAATATATAGAGAGATGTGTCAACACTTAAAATATTGTTATGCTGACCTTCAAGACATGCTTGATATCCTCTGGGTGCAGTCCTTCTGACACAAAATTGTCTTCAAATCATACTGTCACTTTGACTTCATACAAACATGTAGGACAGGGTTACAATGGGGCACAACTCATATCAGCAGTAATCTCCTACAACTAACTATGCTTCCATAATTGGGAAGGAACTTGAAACATTGTTTTTTGTAGAAAATAAAGCCTAGGTAGTGTAAAAAAAACACAGAAACAAATCTCCAATTTTTTAACGAATAAAAAAGTGAATATAATGCAATGGACTATTGCTTGAATCAACGAAAATCCCCTTTCTAATAACCCCTATCATTGAACACGCCATTTTGTGAAAGTCGCTTGCCGAAAGTGATGTTATACGTACCTTAACATTGTACATATTTATCATATTCGATTGAGGTGAGATTTATGAATGAAAGCACACACGATCAATATATTCTGCTGCTCACATTTTCAGTTGTGATGCTTCTTTCACATTTAACATACTTTAGTATGAATATATTTTGGTTTGGGACTACACAAGAAACCGGTCTCAATCAATTGGCACCAATTACTGTACATAAAATCACACATTGGATAGCCCTGGCCTGTTTAGCTCGGAAAACAAAGGCCCCATAAGGGCATAACATTCCAGCACTTATATTGAGCATTCTTCTTTCAATGTGAGAAAATGAGCGTGTATTTTCAAGTAT